GTGTAGAATGAAGGGTTGGAAGGTAGTTCTAAGTCCAAGAACGGACTTAGAAGCCAAGGAGACCGGTTCGCCAGAAAATAACCTTTTGGAGGTTATTTGTATTGACATGGGTTTTGTGATGATAAAACCTTGTTAGGCACTTGTCAAAGGTAATTCAAGAGCTTTCACGAAGTATAAAGAGTCGCCGGAGTTATCACCGGAGTTCGCCAAAGTTCACCGGAGTTTCGCTTGAGTTCAACTGAGAAGCGTAGAATTTCATCACGCTCATTCGAGGTGAATGGACGGCTTAATGTCTTATAACTCTTGGGTTAAGTATGAGATTACCTAAATAAATGTTATAAGTATTCATAATGATGTTTTAAAGAGTTTAAGCATGTGATTAGCCAAGGTGATTAGGCTTATGTGAATGAAACTACATGATTATGCATGTGGAAAGTAGGAAATTTATATAAAAACATATGTGATGTTTTGGATGGCCAAAATGGCATTTATTGATTGTTTTAGACATGATATAGGCTGTATAAAAATTTCGGATCAAATGGATCACGTTTCGGGGGTCAACTCGGGGGGACAACGGGCCGTTGACCCAAAATTCCGAACATACCCGGCGCCAGGTTTAGGGCATACTCGGGCCCGGGTAAGCTGCTGCCTCCATATTGCGTTTTCGCCAAAAACGCGAATCGGAGCCCGGTTCGAAGGGGGGTTAACCCCGTACAACCTATGTGTGTATATTGTGCATGGAATTGCATGGAATATGATATTTAAATGTCAAGGTTGATATTTTATTGATTTAATTCTAAGACTTGGTTTAATCTTTAGTAATAATATGATATAGACCCTATCTAGTGTGATATGTGGTAAGTCATAGGTCGGGTGGAGTACCCAGGGATCGGGCGCGTATCCTCAAAACTCGGTTATAGGGTGGAGTACCCAAGGATCGGGCGGTTATCCTCAAAACTCGGTTATATAGGGTGGAGTACCCAAGGATCGGGCAGTTATCCTCAAAACTCGGTTATATAGGGTAAAGTACCCAAGGATCGGGCGGTTATCCTCAAAACTCGGTTATATAGGGTGGAGTATCTAAGGATCAGGAAGTTATCCTCAAAACTCGGTTATATAGGGTGGAGTACCCAAGGATTGGGCGGTTATCCTCAAAACTTGGTTATATAGGGTGGAGTACCCAAGGATCGGGCGGTTATCCTCAAAACTCGGTTATAGGGTGAAGTACCCAAGGATCGGGCGGTTATCCTCAAAACTCGGTTATAGGATGGAGTACCCAAGGATCGGGCGTGTATCCTCAAAACTCGGTTATATAGGGTGGAGTACCCAAGGATCGGGCGTGTATCCTCAAAACGCGGTTATATAGGGTGGAGTACCCAAGGATCGGGCGTGTATCCTCAAAACTCATAGATTACTATTAAATTACTGTTTTGTAATTTAGGACCGGGCGGTGTCCTCATGTTAAGATGATTTGAACCCGAGGAGTTCTATACACTCATAGGTATATGGGTGGGTTGGGGTTTAAGTCAAGGATATTGACTATACTGTTTTCCCAAACAAAAATGACTTACGGGTCGGGTATTTCCAAGTAAATATATGCTGATATGTATTTCATAACTTGGGGGAAGAACTATACGTATATGTATCACCCTACGTTTGGGTCTTATACTTGAAACGTTAGTTATTCTACATTTAGCATGCTACTCGCTCGGTACTTGTACTTGTCAAAAAAAGGGAGAGGAGAATGGACCAGGTAATAAGGCGTCCTTGGATACGAGAGAAGCTCAGAAGCAGATAGATGATAGGGCTGAGCAAAAGCGTAGGAGGGTCTTCCAGGATGAGGAAAGCAACATGGAGGTGGAGACGTAAGGGCTAAATAATGGGAAGCAGGCAAGTTGCAGCTCAACAACCCACGTGTCTCATCATTAACAAGTTTGTAGATGTTTCAAAATAAAGATGGAGCAGATAATCTTCATCGTTTGATTATTAGTTAATTTTTGGCATTTACTTTAAGTTTTATGTTCCAACACCTTTGTTGTATTGTTGTTTTTTACTCTGAGGGTGGTAGGAGGGTTTTGATTTGTGTTCTGGTTGGTAGGAGATTGTTTGGAAGTAATCAGACTGTTTGGACCGATCTTAACTTCGAATCTCTCGCATGTTCAACAAATAGTCTCGCTCAATTTCGGGTGGTCTATTCTATGTCTTATCAGAAAGTAAGAGGGCCTATTGGCTTAAGAAAGATGAGAAAGTGGGGTAGGCTTAAGGGTGATGATGTAATGATGTTTGGTATTAATACGTAGTATAATTTAAGCTTTCTTCTCTTAAAAAAAGGTAAAAATGAATTAGCAAAAACAAAGAAGTTTATTCTTAACTAATACTACCTCCATCCCATTTTATGTGTCCTACTTTGCTTTGACGAAATCTATTTTATATATAATAATAAAACATAGCTCATTAAAAGACAATCTTACCCTTTTAATGAATCATATGTGCCAAGTTATCCTCAATTCACTCATTTCCTATAACAATGCCACGTGTCCAATTTTTACTTTCAAATGGAACAGCCGCACGGAGATGAAGTTGGTGGGCCCAAGTTATAAACCCCCAATTTTCTTTAAAGTGTCATAACTTTTTCATTTTTGATCCAGTTTTTACAAAAAAATATATCAAAATTTATATTTTTGTGATCTTTTATATAAGATCAATTTGAATATATAAAAATATAGTCTTAATAAAAATATAATGTTATATTCTCATTATGAAAGTATTACAAACATTATTCCTTCCCATTATTAAAGTTTACCGCCCATCGGGTGCTAAACTGCTAATAAATAAAATTTCAAAATTTAGTATATATGTAGTTCTTTTAAGTACTGCGTATAAGATAAGCCGACCGACAATTCAACAATAGAATTTTCTCTCTCATACGTAGTGGTTTTAGATACTACCTTCGTTCTTAAATAAATGCAACACTTTGACTTTTACACTATTCGCATGTTCTACTTTGACTATGTTTTATTTATTAATATAATAATATTATTTTATGAAAAAAATATTGTTAAACTTGTCTCATTGTAAATTTTCATAATCTAATTTTTTTTTAATTTTTTACTAATACAAAATCATTTATATTAATGGTCAAAGTTGTGTCTTGGCAAGTGTAAAATGTTGACCGTTGCATTTATTTAAGAACGGGGGAAGTATAAGTTAATCCGACTAAAAGTTGAGGGAAAATTTTCTCTCATATGTAGTTCTTTTATGTATAAGATCCTATTATGAATTGAACATAATAATTTTCTCTCTCATATGCTAGCACTAATTCAACTAATGAGTAGCAAGTTCTTATTTAACTAAGGCTTTGTTTGCAAGTGCTTGTGTTTAAAAAAAGCACTTTTTGGAAAAAGTGATTAGTAGTAAAAGTTAGTACTGTTTGGTAAAATAAGTGCTTTTTGTGTAATAGAAAAAAGAAAAAAGTAGATTCTACATGAAAGCTGAAAAAAGTATTGTTGGTAGTGTTTGGTAAAATAAGTGTTTTTTATAGCCAAAAGTTGGGAAGTGCTTTTTTAATGGTTTGCAAACAAAGCCTAAGGAAAAATGGTCAAATAAACCCTTCTACTATATTCAATCTGTCACTTAAGCCCATGTACTAAAAAAAGTATCATATAAGTACGTCTACTTTTAAAATACTTTAGTATAAGGTAAGAAAAGTCCTCTAACATTACATAGTATTATTTAACTAATACGTAATATTCGTTAATTTTAATATTTATTGTATTCACTTTTTTAGAATAGTATTGAATTTTAAAATTAAATTAATCATGAAAATTAATAAGTAGCAAATTCTAATGAGTGGTGTTCATTGAACAACAACAAGCTAAAATAAAGAAATCGACTAATTCTACTAAATTTTATGAAGTTCTAGCTGAAGTGGTTGTATTCATTGATTTTGATGATTTATGAAAAAAAATTAAAGTATATTTTATTAATAAAATAAAGAAAAAAATTGTATGAAAAATAGTTAAAGTGGTCATCCACGGTAACTACAGCCAATACAACCAAAAAAGTAATCCCAACCTCACTTTTTTATTATTATACAATTCAGCGCGCGAAATCAAAAGTAATGTGTTTGGTTAAAAAGTTAGCTGATAAGCCGAAAAACAGAGTCACCAAACGGGCTCTTAATTGGGTGAATCATTACGCATGTGTGGAAGATGTGGGAGCATTTTCTCTCACATATTGTGCATTTAAATATAAGATAAGTCGCCTAACAATTGAACAGAATGATTTTCTCTCTCATATATAGTGCTTTTAAGTACTACCTCCATCCCGCTAAGAACTTCCTCCTTTGACCTACAAAAATATTTAGGAAATAAACTTGACTTTACTGTAGTGTACACTGTTTCGACATTGTTTGACAGTGTTTGGCACTGTTTTGCACTGTTTGACAGTGTTTTGATGTAGGATAACTTTTCATTTAGGGAAATGAGAAGATCATTTTGGGACGGCTAAAAAAGGAAAGCAAGAAGATCTTAGCGGGACGGAGGGAGACAGGGAGTATAAGATAAGATAAGATTAAGGTTAGGGTTAGGGTTAGGGTTAGGGTTAGGGTTAGGGTTAGGGTTAGGGTTAGGGTTAGGGTTAGGGTTAGGGTTAGGGTTAGGGTTAGGGTTAGGGTTAGGGTTAGGGTTAGGATTAGGATTAGGATTAGGATTAGGATTAGGATTAGGATTAGGATTAGGATAAGGATAAGGATAAGGATAAGGATAAGGATAAGGATAAGGATAAGGATAAGGATAAGGATAAGGTAAGATAAGATAAGATAAGTCGGCTAACAATTGAGCGGCCGGATTTTCTCTCTCATATGTAATGCTTTTAGGTATAAGGTAAATCGGCTAACAATTGAGTAAGAGAATTTTCAATCTCATATGTAATGCTTTTAGCTATAAGATTTTAGGTATAAGAAGATTAGGTCATAATTAAGGAGGCTAACAATTGAGAGAGAGAAAATTTTCCCTATCATATATGGTGCTATTATGTATGCTAACAATTGATCGGAAGAACACTATATATGCTATTATGTATACTACTGGTATCGCTGTACCAGTAGTATACATTTGCAGTCGTAGTGTCGTAGTATATATTTGAAGAATTTGAGGAGTTGGCACATTAAAAGCATTGCAACGCTAGCTTTTAATCAACAAGATCAAGGCCATATCCCCCCATCAGTAAATCTGTATTAAGACACCATTTATTGGAGTTGCACAGACAGTTGTGCGAAGTTCCTCCACAAAGAACAAACAAAACAAAAAAAATACACATGCTCATGCAAACAATCATCGAATCAGAGGGTGTTACTTGGTAATGAACCCATCAAGATAACAGTATCTTGGTCTCTATTGTGGGAAGGCCTAGGTGACCTTACCTTTGGGAACAAAGCAGAAAGAAAGTGTTTACTTTTATTACCAACAATGCCGCCCCCGTTGCTCTCTGGTCCGGGATTCAAATGAGAACCACAAGGGCAAGTGGGTGTCTTTTTGAAGCACTTTTTGTGGAAAACCGAATTGCAAGATTTGCATCTTTCTATCTCTCCTTCCTGTAGGGTCCGTTTGGATCCCAAAAAAATGTTAGTGAAAAAATAGGGAGAAAAATAGAGGATTAATTTGGAAAGAAATAAAACTTTAGGGAAAATAAAAACTGGTTAGGTTAAAACTCGATAAACTTATTTTAGATACTTGGTCAAACTCAGTTTATTTATATATTTCTAATGTAATGCGTATTGTATAAAAAAATCTCAATATATATATTGTACTCCGTATAAAATTTTGACTGAGAAAGTAATAAGTATTACCAGTACTTGTAATAATTAAATTTTTAAATTATGATCCAAAGGAATTTAGTTTTGAACATATTTATTGCCAACTTGATGCCAAGTGTATCTCTACTTTATGTTTCTGAATTTGGCAAACATATATAATTATTGCCAAATTTGATTCAATTTTCAAAAAGATTGAACTTTTGCTGGGATTTTTATTGAAATTGAAATTTGTGGGCAAATTGACAATTTTCAAAGAATAAACAACAACAACAACATCCACCAACAACATCCAAGCCTTAATCCCAAACGGATTTTAAAGAATAAACCAGTTTCAAAAATTCACGCAATTAGTATTTTGTTGTAATTGGATTGCCAAATAAAAATGAAGAAAGTTGAGATTAATGTACTCCATCCGTATTGAAATGTTTGCTACAATAGGGTTTGACAAAATATTTAAGAGAAAAGTAGTAGGAGCTATGAAGCACGGAAGCTCTGGGGAAAGAGTATATTTCGTTTTGAAAACTCTACGAAAACTCCTTGGAAACTCTGGAACTAGTTTTTTCCAGCAAAAGATGACATTTCATGTTTCCTGTTTTCTCGTGATTTTCACATTTCCATGCAACATATTGATAGGCTATGGCGATAGTTATTAGTTTGTTATGATGTTAACGAAAGAGAGAAAGAGAGAATGTGGGAGCAAATCTAAAAATCTTATTACTGACTCAGGTATTTATACATGCAGTACAACAGGCTTATTACAATTCATATATTTGGGCCTATTACAACTCCTAGCCCAGTCCACTGAGATTCTTATTACTCAACACACCCCCTGAATCTCAGTACAAGAACATAAATTCAAAGCACTTCGAAGTTTCAAAAACAACTGAATCTTCAATGGTTTTGTCAAGATATCAGCTAACTGCTCGTGTGTACTGCAATACTCCAAAATCAATCTTCCTTTATTTACTTGATCCCTGAGAAAGTGAAACCGAGTATCAATGTGTTTGCTCCTTGCATGTGCCACTGGATTATTTGCTAGATGGATAGCTGACTGATTGTCTATCCTCAGCAATGGTACACTCCCAGTCTTAATCTGCATTTCTCCCATTAATTTTTGTAACCACATAACTTCACACGCAGCATAGGCACCTGAGATATATTCAGCTTCACACGAAGATAGTGCAACTACAGGTTGTTTCTTTGAACACCAAGAAACAGGAGCATTTCCAATCATGAATATGTATCCAGTTGTGCTCTTCCTGTCAGTGATGTCTCCAGCCCAATCTGAGTCTGCATATCCATTTAATATTGAAAATTTTCCATCAACTGAATTTGGCAACAATATACCAAAATCAAGTGTCCCTTTTATGTATCTCAATATCCTCTTGGCTGCTATCCAGTGAGACATCCTTGGATCATCCATGAACCTGCTGATCAGACCAATACTATAAGCAATATCAGGTCTGCTTGAACACAGATACCTTAGGCTTCCAACTAACTGCTTAAAGAGTGTTGGATCAACTGACTCCTCATTTTCACACTTCCCAAGTTTCAAATCAGTTTCACATGGTGTCATAGCTGGATTACAATGTTGCATCTGGAATCGTTTAAGCACTTCCTCTGCATACTTCCTTTGATGAATAAGATATCCTTTCTTAGTATGAACAAATTCCATACCAAGAAAGTAAGTCAGGCTCCCAATATCAGTCATTTCAAACTCATCTTGCATCTTCTTCTTGAATTCATCAATATGAGTTTTATTGCTTCCTGTAATTAATAGATCATCCACATAGAGGCAAACAATAAGTAGACCTCCATTCTTCACTCTAGTATACACACCATGCTCCACACTGCATTTATTGAAACCCAGCTTGCTCAAGTAACCATCAATTCTCCTATTCCAAACCCTAGGAGCCTGTTTAAGCCCATATAAAGCCTTCTTGAGTTTATACACTTTCTTTTCTGAGCCTTTTATCTCAAACCCTGGTGGTTGTGCTACATATACTTCTTCTTGCAGTGGACCATTCAGAAATGCTGACTTTACATCCATTTGATGTAAAAGCCATCCTTTTAAACTTGCCACTGCCACTACTGCCCTTATTGTCTCCAGTCTAGCCACAGGTGAGAAGACTTCATCATAGTCCACCCCTTGTTTTTGCTGAAAACCCCTTGCTACTAATCTGGCTTTGTATTTTGCAATGGATCCATCTGGCTTCCTCTTTAATTTGTATACCCATTTCAGTGTGATTTGTCTCCTGTTATTAGACAGGTCAGTTAATGCCCAAGTGTTATTCTTGCTTATTGAATTCAACTCTTCCTTCATAGCTTCTAGCCACTTAGAATCCCTCATTGCATCTTCATGTGTTATGGGTTCTTGTTCACTGTAGAAGGCAAAGTGAACCAAGTCACCATCCTCATTGATGGCATTATCTGGGAGCAACTCATATTCTTCCAACCTTGTTGGTATCCTTTTGCTTCTTACTGGCCTTGTAGGCTGAGATCCACTTGGTTCTGCACCAGAACCATTGTGATAAGTATGACCTTCAAATTCTTCTTCAAAATCAGTGGTAAGCATTGGAATTGAACTCTCATCTTCTTTATCATCTTTCCAGTTCCAACTGCTTGATTCATCTACTATTATGTCTCTACTTATCACACATTTATTCTCAACTGGATTCCAAAGCTTGTAGGCACCAGTTGGATCATATCCCACTAGAATCAGCTTCTCACTTTTATCTTCTAACTTTCTTCTCTTCTCATTTGGGATGTGTCTGTAGCATACTGACCCAAACACTATCAAATGGCCTACTGAAGGTTTCACTCCAGTCCATACTTCTTCAGGAGTAATGTACCCCAACCTTTTTGTAGGACATAAGTTCAAATGGTATGCTGCAGTAGTCACAGCTGCACCCCAATAACCATGTGGTAGATTCTTGGTTTTGAGCATGCTTCTTGCCATGTTCAACACTGTCCTATTTCGCCTCTCAGATACACCATTGTGCTGTGGTGTATATGGAGCAGTAACCTCATGAACAATGCCCTCTTTCTCACAAAGATCCTTAAAATCTCCATTCACATATTCACCTCCTCCATCTGTTCTTATGGTTTTCAGAAACATGCCACATTGTTTTTCAGCCATACTTTTGAACTTTTTGAACACTGAGAATACATCAGACTTGTGCCTTATAAGGTAGATCCACATCTTCCTGCTGAAATCATCAGTGAATGAAACAAAATACATATTTCCATTCAGAGATGGACAATCAAAAGGCCCACACACGTCTGAATATACCACTTCCAGTAATTGCGTAGTTCTCGTTGGAATCCAATTTTTGAATGATTTCCTAGTTTGCTTTCCTGAAATACAGTACTCACATAACTTCTCTCCACATTCTATTCTTGACAGTCCTGAAACCATTCCCTTATCAGCTAGTGTTTTTAGACTCTTCCAATTAAGATGTCCCATCCTATAATGCCATAGCCAACTGTCCTCCTGTATTCCAGACTTAAAGCATACAGACTTTCTCACATTCATGTCAATTTTAAAGGTCCTATTAGCTGCCAATGGAGCCTTTAAAATTAAGAAGCCATCACAGTCATAAATCCTCATACATTTGTCTTTCATATCAATACTGTAATCTTTCTCAAGCAACTGCCCAATGCTAAGTAAATTATGCTTCATTTTAGGCACAAACAATACATCAGAAATGAGAGCATGTTTACCATTTTTGCACTTGATTTGAATCTTTCCTTTTCCTTCTGAACTTACAGTGCTATTATCAACAAATTTCACTGTGCTTTTGGTGGTATCATCTAGCTCCAAGAACCAGTCCTTCCTACAGGACATGTGATTTGAGCATCCCGTGTCCAGGTACCATGCATTCTTCACACTTTTGTCACCCTCTGAAACAGTTGTTGTCATAAGCAACACCTCTTCCTCATCTGATCCTTCATTCTGTGCTGCCACATTTGCCTCTTCTTGTTTATCTCCAGTCTGATCTCTGTACCAACACTCATAGGAGTAGTGCCCATATTTACTGCAAACATAGCACTGCCCATATTTTGTACACCATGCCAATTTCCTCTTCCTCCTCTTGTGTTATAACCACCTCTGAATTGGCCTCTCATATTTCCTCCTTTCGCACCTCTGAAACCTCCTCTTGAATTATTCCCAATCTGGAATTTATTCTCAAAATTATCCTGTCCTCTGCCACCAAAATGAGCTCCACGACCACCTCTTCTTCCCCTTCCTTGACCCCTCATACTTCCTCTTCCTCTTCCTCTAGAGGATTCTTGATTCTTGTTGGATTGGGTCAAAAGGGCTTGATCTGTGACAGACTGTGCAGCAGGCTCCCTTTCTTTTAGTCGTTGTTCATGAACTTCTAATGTTCCCTGTAGTTCTTCTATTTTGAGAGTATCCAGATCACGCCCTTCTTCTATGTTGACAGCAATAATATCAAACTTAGAGGGTAAGGTACGTAATACCTTCTCAATAATAGTTCTCGATTTTAACTCTTCTCCACAATTCTTCATACGATTGGTTATTTGTAAAATCCTGTTCATATATGCAGGAATAGTTTCTTGATCCTCCATCCGCAGTAGCTCATATTGGCGCCTGAGAGTCTGAAGCCTCACCATCTTCAATTTGGCAATACCGGCGTAGCTAGACTCAAGAATGGACCAAGCTTCCTTGGCTGAGGAAGCTGAGGCTATTTTTTCAAAATTCGCCTCATCCACACACTGATGGATGTAGAAGAGAGCCTTACAATCTCGTTTCTTGGCTTCTCTGTACTGCGTCCTCTGCGCCTCAGTCGCATTTGGCCCAATTTCAGGAACTCCTTCCTGTACAATATCAAGAACATCTTGGAATCCAAAGATTGTCTTCATCTTCACGCTCCACCGTTCATAACAATCCAAATTCTTTGAGTCAAGCACCGGTAAGTTCCCAAGAATGTTACTACTTCCTTGTGCCATGATCGTCGATCGCTGTGGCTCTGATACCACTGATAGGCTATGGCGATAGTTATTAGTTTGTTATGATGTTAACGAAAGAGAGAAAGAGAGAATGTGGGAGCAAATCTAAAAATCTTATTACTGACTCAGGTATTTATACATGCAGTACAACAGGCTTATTACAATTCATATATTTGGGCCTATTACAACTCCTAGCCCAGTCCACTGAGATTCTTATTACTCAACACATATGAGGCACTGTTCGGCAATATGCTATATTGGAATAGAATGAAAGAGATGATAAAAATAGAAAAAGTACGAGTAATTGAGTATTTTTAAGAGAAAACTTACCAAAGGGAACGTGTAGCAAAATTTAAAATACATACCAAAGAGGAAAATGTAGCAAACATTTCAATAGAGAGGGAGAATGTCTTACCTGGAAAGGGAAAATGAGAGAAGACAGATCATCACAATGTTGTCTAGCATTACAGGGGATACCCACATCACAACATATGAGGCACTGTTCGGCAATATGCTCTACTATTTTTCTTGAGATAGTCTCTACCATCACAGGCAGTGCTGCATTAAAATGGGATAACTTCCTAAGATTTAACAAATGTGGAGTTCACATTGAATGTTAAAAGAGTGATGGAGAACATATAGAAAGGTCACACACAGTGCATAAGGGTCCTACAAACAGGGTTCAGGATAATATCCAAGTCAAGTACGTAATTTTGGACCCAGTCAAGGCCAAAGCGGATGAAAATACCCTTCAAAGTTTGAGTAAAATATGCATGGGGGATTAAACTGAATCTAAATTTCATAGTCTTTTTTTTTTTGCCCCGGAGTTAACCACTCATGGTGGAGGAAGTGCCGGGGAACACTTAATTTATTATGAAAAAGAAATACAAAAGAAAGTTTATCTAAATTGCATAGTCAAAGACCGTATTATGTCTAAAAGAAAGTGAATGACCAAATTGAGTTATATTGGGTAGAAAGTCAATGGGCTAAAGTGCGTATTAGCTCCAATACAAATCAGAGAACTATAAATAATGAAAAACAGCACATTTTAGGAACTTATAAAATGCAAGTTGGCTCAAGCACTGACCGGAAAAAACACCCTTGGAAAGATCAATAAGGTCTTTAAGTGCAAAGAAGTCACTGCTTTCGAGAAGATATCTGCGAGACCCAACCGCTTTGAATATAGAACCGCGAAAGCTACAACGGACAAATGGAAGCATCACACCAATACGCTTTCTCATATTTGTCACACGTTGCAGAGTTAGAACCTTTGAGAACAGTACAGGGTTTACAGCACTAACACAAAGCATTGGCTGAAAAACATAGAAAAGCATTAGTCCTCATCCAATCTTGATCTGCAAAGCAAAGAAACTAATCTTTTACTCAATGCATGATCTATCATTGTTATTCATAGATGAATGTTTTCTCAGAATTAACACTAAGCAGTTTCTGTTTCTGGGCAGGTATTTATTCTCCATTCTCTTGGCCTATTGTGATTGAGTTCTTCCTTAAAACTAACATTTAAAAGACGCTTTTAAGCCTTGAGGCATTTTGCAGTGTGAGGCGAGATGTAAGTCTAGGGGGGGTTTGAGGCGTAAGCCTCAAACTTTATGTAGAACTTCCTTTACAACTCAAATTACTAGCAATCCAAAACATATTATCAGTCATACATAAAATTGAGTTATAAAGGCCTTTTCCCCATATATTATCAATATATTTGCTTAAGCGTCAGGGCTTAAGCCTCAAGCCTTCAATGCTTGAGCCTCAAAAAAAGCCTTTTTAATCATGCTCAAAAACCCATCCAGAAAATATAGAATAAAAAAACCATTACGAATATTGGTAGAAACTTCGCGCATAGGAAAAGATTTGAGGGTTGATAAGTTCATTTTCTAACACACTATAATGTGTTGAAGAAAGCCTTTTGTATACATTCCTAGCGTAATTTTGCATTATTTTGCTAAGATTTCATTTATCATGTTTTACATGGGCTTTAGTGTTTTTGGAATGAAATTTATCAAGGTTTAATATGAAAAGTGATAGGGACACGGGTACCCTTAATAAGAAGGATAGATATTTTAGCCAAGTCTATTCTAGAAGAAGTAAATAGACTAGCTGTTATTAGTTGCTTTCTGTTATTTGCTTGTAACTACTATCAGTTGAGCTAGGAAGCTATAAATAGAATAAGCTGGGAGAGATTAAGCAGGCTGTTAGACTGCTTAGCTGGGACTGGGAAGATTAGAGACTCATTTTCTCTTCTCTTAGGGACTTGTTGTACTAGTTGACCTCCATTAATGAAGTGTTGATTGTTTCTTGAGCTTGTTTTCATTCTGTTTTACTATTACAATTCCTGTGTGAGTTCTATCAGTGGTATCAGAGAAACGTCGATATCTGTGGATGGTCTGTACTCATGCAAAAAAGGAGATGCGAATGAATGATGTTGAAAGAATGGTGAAGAGGTTGGATGAGAATTTTATGGCGATGCAGACCTCATTCGTGAATATAGAGAACAAGCTTCAAAGTCGTTCGAGAAGTCGATCGCACCACTCGAATACTTCGCATTGCACATCTCATCGCAGACATGCGAATGATTCGGATAGTTCGGAAGGTTCAGATGATCATTCCGAATATTCTTCATCGTGTCATGATCGCGATCATTGCAGAAGCCACAGATACTGGAAGGAAAATAGATTTACCTATTTTCAATGGAGAAGATGCTTTCGGATGGCTGGTTAGGATGGACCACTATTTTTGGTTGAATAATACCGAGAAAGAAGACAAAAATGACGTCACTGTAATAGCCATGGAAGATCAGGCGTTGACCTGGTTCCAGTGGTGGGAAGGTCGAGCACGTCATAAGAATTGGGAGATATTTAAAGAAGCTTTAACTAGTCATTTCCAGCCAGACCTAGTGCACAATCCTTTGGGCCTCAACTCAGTTTGAAACAAAAGGGATCTGTGAAGGAGTTCAGGGAGCAATTTGAAGTGGCTATTGCTTCCCAAGGACATCTGAGCAATAATGTACTGAAAGAAGTATTTCTAAATGGCCTGAAAAGAGATATAAGGTCTGAATTGAAGCTGCACACTACCAGAACGTTAGCTGAAATCATGGATAAGGCATTGTTGATTGAGAATAAGAACAATGAAGCAATGTTCATGAAGAACAAGGATGAAGGAAAGAAGAAATGGCAGGGTAAGACTAGCATTGATAATCATTATCCGAATTGGGGAAATGGGAACAAGTGGTAGAGTAACCCTAACACTTCTACAAGTTGGCAAGGTTATAACTCAAAATAAGACCAGTGATGATATGATAACACAAAACCAGAAAGAGAATGGTCCCAGATTATCTCAAAACGAGTTACAGGAAAGAAGTAAGAAGGGCTTATGCTTCAAATGTGGGGAGAACTGGGACCATTCTTTTTCTGGTTATGCAATCTAAGGCTATGCAATTGTTAGTTTTAAGTAAGGAAGGCATACCTTCCATGAAGACTTTCAAGGTGAAAGGTAAATTGAAGTGGCCTGAAGGAGAACAACCTGTGAATATTCTTATAGCTTGTGGTGCTACCCACAATTTCATAGCACAGGACTTGGTGGATAGGTGGAAAATTCCTTTTAGTTCTATTCAAGGGTATAAGGTACAGATTGGGAATGGAGAATTCATTCATAATGGTGGCAGATGTGCAAGAGATTGTGATCCAACAAACCTATTACATCTTGGAGCTAGGAGGCATTGATTTGGTACCTGAGATGGAATGGCTAACTGAGCTGGGAGATATGGAGGTGAATTTTCAAAATCAGATTATCAAAAGGGGGCAACAGGGACAGACTTACACCATTAAAGGAGATGTTGCTTAGAATTAATTGCAAACTTTATATCACATTGAGTTAAAAGTGTCGTTCGCACGTTAAACATTGTTGTCATCAAATCCTAAAGCTATATATAGGGTCTAATTCCATAAAAAATGTTTCCTCTGGAAATTGCGGACAGGCGCACTCCGTTGAAGAAAAACATTTTCTCAGATGTAGGACAATTATTGGGGAGTAGTAGTAGTAGAATATTTTGGAGAGACTTTTATAAAGAGAACTCTTATTGCTACGAGAGCTAAGAACACTCTTATTTATACTAAGGCATCTCCTCAAATAATGGCTAGGATGATGTCAAGACAAATCAAGTCTAATGACTCTCAATGATTCTCTAGAGTTCTCCATAGAAATATCTACATTTTACACTCTTCTACTATCTAGATAATTCTAGATGACTTACGTAGAATGCTATTCTATAACATGGACCATCTATTATGGACTATCTCTTATTCAAAAAATCAATGGGCTAGCTAATCAACTTTAATTTTTCAACACTCCCCTAAATTTGATAAGTCATTCCAATCATGCTCCTTAACTTGATGAAGTTGTCTTGCTTGAGTGGCTTTGTGAAGATGTTAGCAATTTGATCTTGAGACTTCACATATGCTAAATGCACCTCTTTTCTTGCAACGCACCCTCTAATGTAGTGATAATGTGTGTCGATATGCTTGCTTCAGTCGTGATAAACAAGATTCTTCGCCAAAGCTATTTGATGACTTGCTATCCATGAAAGTATTGGTTGGATCTATTTGTGGAAGTCTCAACTCCTTTATAAAGTTCCGATGCAAAATTTAATGGCAAACACATGAAGTAACAGCCACATACTCCGCTTTACATGTAGATAAGGCCACAATCGGTTACTTCTTTGACATCCATGTGAATGCAGTATTACCCATAAAGGTAACAGCCACATACTCTGCTTTACATGTAGATAAGGCCACAATCGGTTACTTCTTTGACATCCATGTGAGTGCAGTATTACCCATAAAGAACAAGAATCCACTAGTGCTTTTTCTATCATCTTGATCTCTAGCCCAATCGCTATCACGGTAACCAATAAGTTCAAAGCTATTAAGGTATAAATGAAACAAACCAAAATTTATGATACCTTTAATATATCGAAGGATCCTTTTAGCGGCCCTGAAATGGGTACTAAGATTTTGAACTTAGTAGCATAAGCTTCCTGCTAAGATTTTGAAGAGTGTTGGATCAATAGGTTCTCCTCCATCACATTTTGATAACTTGAATCCATACTCCAAGGTAGTCAAACTCGAGATCCTACGTAGGATCGGAAGGGGACCTAAAGATCGTAAATCGTAGGATCGTGACTCGGATCGTAAGATCCTACAAATTCATACATACATGCATATATATGTATATACACACACATATAGTTTTAATCAGATATTGAATATAGCTTACTAGTATTAATCATACAAATAATCATACTAAGTTGTCTATAACTTAATACCAATTACAAAATACTTGATTCACTACAACCTAAGTAATATAATAAACTGAATTAAGTTGATAATATATTAATATATAAAGTAACGATATTAAAAAGTGACACACTAAAATAATAATAATAATAATAGTAATACTAATAATAATAAGGGTAAGTTATAGACCTATATTGACCACTAACAATAAATTAAAGTAGTACGGATTATACTAGTAAAAATATTAGGATAAAGTAATAGAATAAAATAACTGGTGGCGATAAAACAATTACGTAAATTAGTAATTAGTAATAACTAATAAGTGTAAATTAGTAATTAGTAATACCTAGTTTCTGGAGGTCTTCTCCAGATAACGAGACTAAAGAATAAGCCCTAAGGTCGAGTGGTCGACACAAATGATAAAGATGACGGCTGCGGTTCCTGATGTCCGATTTTTTTTTAAATTTTACCGATAAGTTTGTGTTGCTATTGAATCGCGATCCAGAAGCGATTCCACGATTTTACGAGTCTACACAGCGATCCTATCCATCCAAGTCATTTTACGATCTTCAGCAGAAACGGGATCGCAGGACCCAGTACAGATCGTATAATCGTACGATCCTACGTGCTGGATCGCGATTTTGACTACCATGCCATACTCCATGGTAATGCTTAATGACTTGCAATTCTCCATCTTGAACTTCTTGAGTACTTCTTTAACATGTCTTTCTTGAGAAATGAAGATGTCCTCACCATGCTTCACTTCAATGTCGAGGTAGTATGTCATAAACCTAATATCCATCATTTCAAACACCTTTTGCATGTCTTCTTAAACTCTCCAAACATGTTTGATTGCTACCGGTGAAGATCGGGTCATTTACATCCAAGCATACAATTAAAACGTCACCATTTTGGACCTCGATGTAGAGTGCATGCTCATATAGACACTTGATGAAGTTCTTTTCTTGAAGATACATGTCAATTCTAGCATTCCAAACCCTCGGGCT